AACACTTTCACTCGAAATGGAAGTAGGCTCAACAATTATGAAACAAAAGATTCCTCTAAACCCAACTTTTATTGGCATAAAATACAGAAGAACACGAATTATCACCACACTATAGAGCCTTGCTGCACTTCTTGTATGTTTGTTAGAAAACTATTGACCTCGTGTGCGTGATATGAATACCATTTATTTGTGAGCCTAAGTGTAGTTAAACCGTTAATTTTAGTGGTTCTATCAGTCGGAAACCCTGAAAAAGGAATCCGGGTATTTTTGACTTTCAGATATACACGTTTATTACTCTTTCATACACTTCACTTTCATCCCTGTACATTTAGAGTGGGGAGACATTATATTGGATTTTTATATATCATGTATACGAATTATCAAGTCTAAAAGACATATAAATTTCTATAAAAATCATACGATCAAGATGTCTTTACTAAGTTGCAACTCTGTGCTAAGGATGTTGTCCTTTGCTGACAATGCCTATAGATGTACTAAGTGAACAGTCCGTTGCTGAAAATTATCATGAATACTATGGCCTAGAACGTAGGACTAGGTACGTTCCACAAGTTCTCTTTTTCGCCCCACAAAGTTGCAAAAATGAGAATAAACCGACACTATTATTTAAATTAACCTATTTTTCCTCCACATAGCAGCTTCTTATGCCATGTAATTGTCCAGTTTCTTAAAAATCTTTGCATGAAGAAAGGCCGAAGCTCAAATTAAGATCTTTATCTGTGTGTGATTGTGAATAAACGTAGTACAAAAGGCCTGTAAGCACACAGATATGACAGTAACCAGGCTACAAACCCCAGCATTTCACGGCTCAGCTGGATGGGCTTTGACACTTAAACTTTCATCACTTTCTTATTCGTCTATCTATCAGCGCGTCGAAACGAGAAGACACAGACTTAAGTGCAAAAGTCTTTCTTTTGACTGCAATTTGTGCATTTTCACCGGAAACATGTATGTAGCCTCGTCATTTGGCTTCCTCCAGTCAGCAGCAACTTATCATATTTACCCATCTTCGGGCTCCGTATTACATGCGCCTTTTCGTCCTGCCTAAGATTGCCCTTGCGAGGACAGTGTCAAAAATTGCTAGAATCTGTCCTCGCTTCGGAAACTGGTGTTGAATGTGACTTAATCGGGTTATCTCGAGGCCATCGGAATTCTCCTGTTCGTATATCCACCAGTCAGGCTTGCATACTTGCCTAACCGCTTTCTCTCGTAAGTACGGGGATTTTTCAATATTGCCCTTATAATTCCCCTTGGTAAGGTCATACGAAACCCTGAGAAATGTGTGATATTTTAGCCACGCTCTCGATGCCTAGCCAATCGCAAATGTGTGAATTGACCACGCGGCACCTTCTAATTGGTACACTTTTTTGCCGTCTCCTGATTGGTACGCTTTTTGCATTCTCCTGATTGGCCATTTCAAAAGATCTTGAAAACCTCAGCTCCAGCGTCTGTTCTCCTGCCTCTATTCGACGCCCATTCGGCAAAGGCAAGTCATGAGACTGACGTGATGTGTGCATCGATATCTCTCTACCCCAGCCCACATTTACACGGTTAGATGCACCTTCACTCTCAATTCGGAAATATCTATGCCCGTCTACCGATGGTCCCAGAACTTAGCATACACACATTCACACACGCATGTGTATGTTACTTATATTTGTATCTTCGCTACAAGACACGGGCATGCGATCGATAAATACACCTCGTTTAACACAGACTTAGAGACAGGTCTAGAAAGGCAATCTGCTCACATCTTTCGTACTACCCAGTTTCGGAAAGGAATATTCGAAGAACAGTAAAGATTGCTTTCGGGGAAGCATTAAGTCGTGAATCTGTGAGTTTGTCATTCGGGTCTGATAGGCACCAGAGGTGAAGAGAGAGAGAGAGATTGCGAATTCTGTCAGCAGAGAGGAAGAGCTTAAGCTAGGTCGCTGAACTTGTGTTTTATTATGAAAGCCTAGCAGTGGGTCCAAAGGTGTAGTTCGTCATGGTGAGAGAGCAATAATGGCAGCGAAATTTCGCACAGGTATGCATGTGTATGCATGTTTTGCTTGTGCATTTGTCTGGCGGTGTATATTGGCAACAGAGGATTGAACGAAATCGATTGTACCAATTAGCACTTAGACGAGTGACAAAAGCATGGGACTTTTTTGTTGCTATTCCCTCGGCTGGTACGAGTGGCACTTAACGACTTACATTACAATAAATAACTCAACATTCAGCCACTCCTTTCAAGCTGCTACCTTATTCAGTTTGGTGCCAGTGCACATGTCTGTGCCTGTCTACCTGCCTGCCAAATTGTCCGTCTGCCTCCATCTGATCGGCAAACTAATGATTGTGTGAAATCTATCACCTTTGAAGACGTACTATTTCACAGTTAAGACGAAAGGAATTCGTCACCACCTGCTTGCATTACAAGTTGACGGAGGAGATTCTGTCGGGCCGATACATTTGGATCAAACAAGTCAGATTATCGACCTTGCCAGAGGTTGAATAAGCGTTTTATATTCATTTTACTTCTGATAGTTTGGATATATATTTGAACTTTTTTCATCCTCTAATTGTACAACCGCATCGGCAACACAAACTGGCATAAAGTATTAACATTTTTCTATCTGCACAACATGCATCAGCAATAAAATAAAACGATAATGAAGTCTTTGCAAGGATTTATCTTTTTGACTTAGGTCCTTCATTTCACACGGTACCATTTTACCCATCTCTTCTAATGGCCTCCATTGCGACCCATATTGATGCTCAGCTCTTGGTTGGAAATTCATATCCTTTTTGTCCCAACCCAATGGTTGGTGTCACACTCACAGCTGGCCAACAACCGAATGAAGCATTCTATACTCCGCCACATTTAGATTCGAATTTCTCCTACCTTCATGACCACACAATCATGACTACTGCCACCGACTCATTTTCTAGAAGTCCGCAAAATGTTTTCACCTCGGCTTTTTCTTCTTGCTCCTCCGCTTTATCCTCTTCATCACCATCGTCGACTTCCTCCTCTTCGTCTTCCGCCACACCATTTGCCTCGTCTTTTTTGCCATCCTCTTTCTCTTTAGGATCATCATTGAGTGCTCCTGATACAAGTTTAGCGCCAAACTTTGCTTCGGCCTCGTGCTCTGCTCCCTCCTCTGCTTCCTCGTCTTCTAGCGTTTCTTCCTCTTGCTCTTCCTCTTCATTGGCTGCTTTTTCCTCGCCCATTGAGTTCTACAACGCAACCATCTATCCTCCCCCTCTTCAGCTATCCGATCACGATCCGGGAATCATCTTCCAGCCGGAATCTACCGAACCTGATCAGGGCAGAGTCAAAAAGCCCGAAATCGCCGGTTGCTCACTTGTCCAACCGGGCAAAATCTCGGCAAGCATTTCAACTGAAAATCGGCATGCCCACACAATTGCTAGCAGTTACCTGGGCGCCCTCGACAGCCTGGGTCATACATGCGACCGACTGGTGGCCACGGCAGTCGGAAGTTCTACAACTTCAAGCTTGACTCGGCAGGATTATGATTTGGACTTAGATCGTAGGGTTGGCCCGACCTATACGGAGAGGTCGGCCACACTATCTTCATCTTCATCTTCGTCTTTGTCTTCTCTGCCCAATCATGCCACGACAGGCTTCTATGCTCTGGGAAAACTGGCAAGTACGGAAACGCGCTCCTCCAAGGCACTTCAGCAGCATCAGCATCAG